CAGCAAAACACGACAGTGGCATCTATTCTCGACGATGGCGCCATTTGGCGGCAATCTGGGGGCGCCAAACTATATTGCAAAAATTAGTCATCACCGGGGATCGAACTCTGGACCATTTCTTCACCACTGTTTTGACATTCCTGGAGGCGTTCAGGAAAAATGGATCATGGTTCTGTGTTCCTCGCATGAGCCCCTACAACATGCAGAAAACCATTTCGAAAAAGCGCTCCATGTCCTGAAAGACCTCCCTTTTCAGGCCCGAAACGTTACCAGGTATGTTTTATGTGAAGGAAGTCTTCGATCTACAACTAGTCCGATTTGAAATGATTTGATTCTATAATCCAAACACCCCCCCCCCTCCCTCCTCAATGCTCTGAAGATTTCAGAGGCTAGGAACTTTCCCCCTTGTTCATTAGCCATGGTGTTGCCTGATTCGATCGCTGTGCAATCCGCGCGTCGGGCACGTCTTTTATCTAACACGATCTTACATCGAAGTAGCAACGCTTGATTTCACAGATTCCCAGCTGAACTGGTCATAGCGCAATACGCTGAGGATGCGCGCGGCAAGGTCAACGGCAGTGAACACTTCGCAACACTTTCGGACGGGACTCATGCCAGGGAAAGTCGAGAAAGCCATGGGAAGCAGTATGGAAATCCCTGGGCTCATCCATCCCCTCTAGGACGGCTCATGATGTCGTAATTCTGCGACCCAATCCTCCTACCGTAATCCGTTAATCCGTAAATTGTCTTTGTCCCTTACGTGATCTGGCATCTTTTTACAACCCGTAATTTTGCGCCTCCTGCATTTTGGCCTTATTCAACAACTAATTATGCCCTCCTTCTCAATCTATGTGCAATAAACTTTGTAAACAAAAACAATATAGCAAACAACTCATTAGAACTGATCTTACCTCGGTACTCGTGGGTGTGCCTCCATCTTTGGCCGAGACATTCAACGCTATCATCTGACTGCTCTCTCGATCCAGTGGCTGCTTTACTTCCAAATACAGTAGCCCGGGATTTTGGTAGATCAATCCGAATTGGTCATTGTCATTTTCGATACCGTACTCCACAATAGTGCCATTGTTACCAGCGTCTGGGTCCACTGCCGGCAGCAGGGGTATTTTGGTGCCAACAGCGCTCGATTCAATCACGGAGACGTTCTGTAATTAAGAAATCAGAACAATCTGTAAAAATATCCCAAAATAAAATAAATACAAACAATAAAACAAAAAAAAATAAAAAAATAAGAGAAGTAAAAGGATTATGATCCAACCAAACAATCAATCACTATGGTAGTAATCGGTTGATGGATTCCTCTGGTAATTATTGAAATGAATTTTATGAAATTCAATTAACTGCTCGACTATCTGCTCTAATCGAACTATTCAAAATTTATTACCTGATTTTTACTTTTGCCATCTACGAAATTTTATGGGACAAAATAACAAGCACCGTTTCCGGAGGAACTTAGGCGCAAAGCAGCAAAATGAAGGTTGCAGTTGGGCTAGTAAGGATAAAGTTTTTGTGAGAGGCGAAACCCAGAATACTTTAAAGCATTAGAAAACGATACGGGGACAACATACCCCCTATCGAAGAACTTAACAAATAAAAATCACGTTTTATTAAGAAAAATAAAAAAATTTGATAACGAAACAAATGATGACCATATACGAAAGTAAATAATTAATGATATAAAAAATGGTAAAATCAAAATCATCATGAAATAAGAACATGAAGTGGCTAATATAAAACCCAATATATACGTGTTCAGAAGTATCTTGAACTGAACTCAGGTCATTAGAACTGATCTTACCGTACCTCGGTGGTGTGCCTCCATCTTTGGCCGAGACATTCAACGCTATCATCTGACTGCTCTCTCGATCCAGTGGCTGCTTCACTTCCAAATACAGTAGCCCGGGATTTTGGTAGATCAGTCCGAATTGGTCATTGTCATTTTCGATACCGTACTCCACAATAGTGCCATTGTTCCACCAGCGTCTGGGTCCACTGCCGGCAGGAAGAGGTATTTTGGTGCCAACAGCGCTCGATTCAATCACGGAGACGTTCTGTAATTAAGAAAGAAACAGTATGTAGACAAATTTCTTCGGAAAAGAAAGAAAAGAAAAAAGCAAAAAAAAGAAATGATTCAATTAAATCATATTACTCTGTGATTCACCAATTATAGTATTAGGTCGGTCAAAAAGTATCCGCCGTTTCGCACGCCTAATTTTGAACGTCACAACTCTACTGAAACACTGCCTTTTCGGTTGATTCAAAAACACTTATTTTCATCATATTGTTGCTAATCATACCCACGCTAATCTGTCCCCTTACGGTGAAAATTAAAATTACTGTAGGGCAAAAGCTGTCGGAGTGCAATTTTGATATACTCCTGCTCTCAAAGCAATTTCTCCTCCAAGAACTGCGTTGATGAGCGGAAAATTGGTGGTTAATCAGTGATAGACCTGAGTTGTGGGAAGAATTACAGAACAGTCTTGAATTCGTTTACGAATGACTTTTACACAGCGCATCTTACAGTGGGCCGTTCAGCGCTATCGCGGTGACAGATCGAACCTCATTTATTCTCTTTATTCCTTCACGCAGGCTATCATTTCTGCAGTTTCTCATGCATTATGTACTATCCTTCATGGCAAGACTATACCGTCGCCGACTGACTCGAATGTTAACCTGCCAGTGAACCGCGCCACCAAACATTGAGGAAAATCCCTGTTGGAAGCGCTCTTGGTTTCGGGATGCTCCAAGGAAACTCAATCTCGTTTGCCCATTGAGCAACCTTCACATTATCATCGTGCAGATTCGTAGTTTCATCCAGCACTATTACCTATCTCTGAAACGGCTCATTCCTGTTGCAACGTAGAGTCCAAGTGCGCACCTCCATGCGCGTTGCCACTAGTCGAAACTGCCCAGCACGGCACAGTCCGATGAACAGAGTGACGACGTTCCTGCTCCTTCCTCATAGCGTTCAGGCGACTGAGCACGATGTCGTTAGGGCCTCCAAGCTCTCCTGCTCTAATTGCAGTCGAGCCCTTGTGATGAGCTCCTTTCATTTCTTCTGCACAATCCTGTATAATGGGGGCACTACTCTTACTACGTGCATCACTTTTGAGCTTTATTTCTTCAAGCTCAAACCTGGCGACGTAATCTAGCGCTGTGCATATTCTAGGTGCTTTTTCTTACTGAATCAGTCGCCATATTACGAGCAGCCTCTGGAGTGTTTCTTCCGAGTCTGAAGTCATGAACTGCCAACTGTCAAAAATCACGATTTCCCGTGGTTTCGAAAAAACTCTAGAACGACGAAAGGTTTTCAAATTCACACCAAAACCTCCGTATGCATATGAAAGGGCTGACTTCTTCTCTACAAGATGATACCCAACTTGCCTGAATAGTTGCGGAAGAAATTACCAAAAAAATGCAGGGAATTACCAGAAGTGCAAAACGGCGGATATTTTTGCTCAACATAATATTATGTAATCATTAATGGATTCCTCTGATAATCTCAAATTGAAAGCTATGAAATTCATTTTATTGCCTGTGTTGTAGGCGAAATTTTTCAGGAGATAAAGGATAAAAAAGGATAAAGCATTTGCCGTTGATCAATCCCTTTTTGGGATGCGGCACGCATTCTACTTCCATTTGTACATTCGCAGTGGCGTTTGAATGCGATGTGGCCTATACAATGACTTGCGGGGGCCAGCCGATGTACAAGTCAGTGTTTTTATCCTCCCAGACAAGTCTGGTACCAATTAACCGACCCCGGAGGGATGGAAGGCTTGGTTGGCCCGGGCGACTCACGACCCAGGATTTGATCCCCGGACCGCTCGCGTGGTAAGCGTGCCACTTGCCACTACACCATTTCCGCAATTACTTTCAGGAATTATCCACTAATATTTACTTATTTACCATCATTTACTGAATTATTGCAAAAACAAGCGACCTGTGAAATTAGATGAGCGGCCAAGTAAGCACGTGGAAAGCTCGCTTTTCTTTGGGCTAGTAAGGGCAAATGCTGCGTGTTGAAGGGCGATTGTATTGTTTATTCCTAGTTTATTCCTACTTCTTTTGAGTTGTTTGCTAAATTGTTGTTGTTTATTGAGCTTTAGAGCATTTAAGTAAATGCATTGATCGCTCATTTAGGTTCATAAATTATAAAACAGAGAATAAAAATGCAAGGAGGAAAAGCAGCAAGTGACAAAGAAACAATGATAACCAAATATGAAATTAAATAATATTTGATAAAAAAATATAAAAAACCATGATGACATATAGAACATAGAATATCTAACATGTATAAAATGCTGTTGAACAATCTATTGTGAAATATTATAAACACATAGTATCGATAAATGATTAATATTAGCAATGGTAATCGTAGTTGTACCTGGAACGGAACCGGAAACGTTGGTGAATTGTCGTTGATGTCGAGTACGGTAATGAGAACATGAATCAGGGATGGTGGAGTGGAAAGCAACAACAACTCGACAGTATCGTTTCTGAGCTCGTAATAACTTCGTATAGCATTTCGAAGAGAAATCTGCAACGAAAATCAATAAAAAGCCATTTGTTCCAGTGAGACCAATTCGTTCAGATGGCGCATCCTTACGGCGAGATCAAATCATATTTATTAATCTTTTCAGAACCCTAGGCTGAAAAGAAAAGAAAAATAGCGCCGTGGTATCCAAAATCTTGAATATCTAGAATACATTCCATGTTTTGCCGTTAGAATGTAAATAGAACCATTTTATTGATTTTTTGAAATCAAAGTTCTTCCTGAAATGTTGTATGTATGTCACCGCACTTACCCATCCAGTTATTGGGTCAAAGTTGAAGTAATGATTGACAGCCGCTCAGCCCTCCGACCAGCCGCCCTCTCCACGGATACACGATAATTGAAGCCGCTTGTCAACTGACTCGGCCGATCCGCGAACCGACACCCGCTCCTGTAATTTTGTGCTATTTTGAGGACGCAATAGTTGCGCGCTTCCACGCTGCCAATTTTGGACAGAATTGAAGTACATCATTCGTATTACTTGGCAGCATACATATCTATAATAATGGTACAAATATCAATGGAAATTAAATAATATCGAATCTAGCGGCAGTTGCATGGCATGAAACATCAACACGTGCATAACATATTGATTTCTTCCATCTTTGTTTTTCGCACAGGCCGGAGCCCGGGTGCTAGTGTGCACGACCCCCTCCCCGCAGCGCATAACTCGAGATAAATCAAGTATTCCGTGTCTCGGGGTGTATTTCTCCAAGCAACAACCCAGATAAGGTCATGTCGAACAATCCTTACTTCTATGGGCTAGGCAATAAGAACAGCCTCACGAGGTATCACAGTTGTGCCATTGTCGCGGCTCTAAAGCGCACGAAAATGGCGCTAGGGCCTTAGAAGCTAGCTGATGACGGCTGATGTGAGCTAGTGGACGAGATACCTCGCACACACCCTGTAACATGAGACGTGGATTACGATGTAGTGACCATTAGGAAAAACGCGCTGGTTCGTGAAGCTGCGGAGCAAGTAAATCCGGAAAACTCGTCCAAACACGCCCCTTCCCTATTTCGAAGGGAAGAAAGGGAGTCCTTGGTAAGAGCTTCATCAGCGGTGCTTTGCTTCTTTTTTTTCATTTTCAGTCCACACGGCATCCAGAATTTCATTATCGACCGATCAAGCAATATGGTCAGGATTTGTTGCTTTGTGATCTTTCCATTTAGCTTAAAGAGATTTTTTTGAAAAAAAAACAAAAAAAATATTTTTTTTTTTTTTTTTTTTTTTTTTTTTTTTTTTTTTTTTTTTTTTTTTTTTTTTTTTTTTTTTTTTTTTTTTTTTTTTTTTAAAATTTTTTTTTTTTTTTTTTTCTTAGAGGGCTTCAAATTTTCCATTCATTTCGCGACTCCCTGATGTCTGTAGGCTTTCCGTCATTCACGTCGCGTCGATCACAAGTGCGTATGCAATTGCAGCCTCGCTATTACATTGTGTGTATGTATAATTTGCAACTTGTTCACGGGGTTTTTCAAGTTTGTTTCCCTCCACAGATGACGTCCGTAATTACAGACCGGCCGGCTCAAACTGGTCATCGTATGCTCGATTTGGTAGCGAATCATGCCACAAATTAGCGTCTCACGGGAGAGAAATCTCTTTGAAAAGGATATTTCTGGCAGGCCCCGAGCAACTCCGGCATCCCCCGCGCGACATACCACCGCCGCCCCCACAGGTAGCGGCACAAGAGGCCTAATTTTTGTAGATCAAGACTGATGAGTTTGGTGATATAAAAGTGGCTAGAGACATCCTGAAAGGACCGCTGTAGAGGACCGGATGTCATTTTATATTTCGGAAATCGGAACAGTAATGCGATCAGTCCCTTACAAATTTTCAACTTTCTGCTGCTAGTTCTCGGAAAATCGAACTCGAAGTAGGTTTTCATAATTTTGGAGATGGAAAAAGAACTAAGTCGGAAATCTGTGGGAACTCGGCGCATTCCCTTGCAGTTTACTGGGTCCTGCAAGTGACTTTTTCAGAATTTGAGGCTTCCGTCTCACAGCGTCGATCAAGCTAGATGTAAACAAAAGGCTAAAGGGCAAGATGTGATTGATCCAAGTATTACTTATGTCAAGAAAATTCAAGAAGAAATCAAAAATACAAAATAAAAGTGCCAAAATTAAGGAGAACATTTTAGGTCCGAATCTACTGGTAAAAAGAAAAAAACCAAGAAAAAATTGGTAAAGGTGAAGTAAGAATCACCTTTTTTCCCTTTTTTCGAAAACGATAATTTTTTATTGATACTTTTTATTATCACTTTCGTTTCTGTAGTAATCATAAATAATCAAATTTTCTATGAAAATCAACATTTTTGACTGATCCTATAAAACTTGTTGAAATAATATAATACTTTGTCGCAGTAAATATAAATAATCATAATAAATAAAAAACAGAAAAAGAAAAAGGAATACTAGTAAGAAATTGAGATTATATCAAGTATCTTCAAGTATCTTCATTTTTACACCAATTGTTTTTCTTTCTCAAAGTGATAATTGGAATTAC